GGTTAAGAATTAATAATGATAAATATCCAACAGAAGATTATAATGTTAGCTTTAAACCTGGAGAATTAGATTATTCGAGATATTATTCTGATTTCTTAGCGGCGGGATTAAATACCAATAGCACAGAGTCTGGTTGTTTAGTAAGTTATACAAACTATGGTAGACTGTATCCAATAATTCAATTCGATGTTTCTAATCATCCCTCTTATAATAATGTTGATAATTTGAAAATTGAATTCTTTTGCCAATTGAGAGAAACACCTCCTAAACCGTATAGAATTTATTTCGTTTTAGTCGAAAAAAGAAAAGTATTTATGAATACAGTAGAGCGTCGGTTTATCCGAATCAATTGGGGACTGGGGTTGTTCGGATAACCGATTATGTACGAAAAAATATATTAATTTATCACGTGTTGAAATTTTTCTCCGTCGCGTGTCGCTTCGCGTTGAATTTTCGACGATGTTAAGCCTAACAAAGACTATTGTATCGTTAAAAATTATTTTTTTATTTTGTACAAACAAAATAAATATATTGAAAAATATAAAAACAATAAAAAATTATACTTCAGAAGTTAATTTAGTATCAAAAACGTAAAATATTTGAGTAGCCGAAGACATAGCCAAAGATTACAGCGCCACAGCACTGGCGAAAATTTAAATTTGTCGACTGGAATTCCTTCGGATAACCGACGTTTCGGATAACCGACCTTCGGATAAACGACGCTCTACTGTATATACAACAAGACTTTTGAAACCATTAAAACTTTGAAGTGAATTTTCCCTTTAATTAGGGAACTGGGACTGGACGTTAAGGGGTTAATTAAATTAATGGCTTGGTTTCCTTTTGGTTATTATTATGAAGAATTAAAAGAAGGTCTTCCTGGTCCTCCGGGTAATGGTTTTAAATTAACGGATGATGGAAATTATGATATGCAATATAAGATCTTAAAATATTGTGGACATCCAATAGATAAAAACGATGCTGCTACCAAGGAATATATTGATAATAAATTAAAAATAATCAAAGAATTAAATAATGATTTTCAAGCTTTTGCTAAAGAAAATGCTAATAAATTAAAAATATTTGAAGAAGATCACATAACAAATAAAACTAATTCAGAAAAAAATATTGATGAATTAAATTTAAACGTTAATAATTTCATAACAGAAACGAGTAAAAAACTTCAGACCTTGGAAGATAAAGCACTTTTATTATCAAACGGTGCGTATAATGCACATGGTAAAAAAATAGGAAACGTAGGTGATCCAGAAGGAGGTAAAAATGTTGTAAATACAAGATATTTTGAGAATAATGCTTTAACCGTAAATGATGAAGATGTGTTTGATGCAAAAAATAAAATAATAACTAATTTAAAAAATCCACTTGATGACACGGATGCAGTTTCAAAATCGTATCTCGAAAATTATTTCAAAATTGATGAAAATCCGAACAATATAATTAAAAAAACAGAAAATGGATTATTTGCTTCAAGTAACCATTCATTCATTTTAAGGGGCTTTATAGATTATGGTAAAGATACATGGTCTGATTTTTATTTTTCCCCAGATGATTTTCTTAAAGATAATAAAAAAATTCATGTCAGAATCTGATGGATTCATTAGTAAGATTTGTTTAGCAAGCGATAACCAATCATTAGATATATCTACAGGTATATTTATCAATAATAAATTAGTATTCTCTTTAAAATTAAAGATAGGAGAAACCCACAAAGTTATAAATGAAGCTATCCCATTCAATGTAGAAGATATAATTACAGTTAAAACTATAGACAATGAAGAGAATCTCAAGGATTATGACATTAATCATTCAATTAGGTTCAGTATTTCAATATTTATAAATTATAATGAATTTTTGGATGAAAAAGATATACCAATCAGAGATCAAGAATTATCCGTCTTATTGGGAAATAAATAAATTTTTTCCTATATAAATGGAAACAAAGAAGAAACTAAACAATATTGGAAAAGTTCAAAATACTCCAACAAAGATATTATACGAGTTGGAAGTTGACTACGAATATCCTATTAAATATATTAAAACAGTATTCACTCGTTTTGGTGATAAAAAATTAGTAGTTGTTAGGGATGAAGAATTGAACAAATTTCAAGTTTTTCTTCCTGATCGACTTAACAAAAAATTAAGGAATGAAAAATTTTAAATTTGTATACAAGGGTATGAGAGATTGTGGGAATAACTATAAAGCTCATATTACTGTATTGAGTTTGTTGGATTTTTTATATTTACTTTTTATAATAAATCAACGAGTTTTCATTGGTGATAAAAAATTAGTAGTTGTTAGGGATGAAGAATTGAACAAATTTCAAGTTTTTCTTCCTGATCGACTTAACAAAAAATTAAGGAATGAAAAATTTTAAATTTGTATACAAGGGTATGAGAGATTGTGGGAATAACTATAAAGCTCATATTACTGTATTGAGTTTGTTGGATTTTTTATATTTACTTTTTATAATAAATCAACGAGTTTTCAACGGTGTTAACTTTTTTTAAATTCAGTGAATTTTACTATTGATTTTAATTAAATTTACTAAATTTCACAAGCCTTAAATTTGTGGCGTAGAATGTCCTTTTATACACTACTCATTAAATCCAACTCGCTTTACTTATCTTCAAAAGTATTGTATACGTTCTGTATAGTACATGCAGGAAAAAAGAAACAACTGTGAAATAGAATAGCAAACTCGAAAATTTGGTTATCCCGCTGCAATTTGAAAAAAAAAATTGTAGACCTATTAATTCTCACCGTCGTCCTATGTGTCTGTCTCTCCTTAATCCTGATGTTAGATAGATGAAAGTCAAGACAAAATATGTAAATTTTAGGGCAAGAGGCCCCGATTAACTGTAAAGCAACTTAAATCACGTTAATTCCAATTCAAAAATTTTCCCCCGAAGGGAGTTACATAGATAATCGGCACGACTCTGTTGTTATGAAAAAAGTATGATTTACAGGGGAAAAACACTACAAATTTGAAATGAGTCCTGAGATGAGGTGATGCGACAATGGACTACAGCAAAAGATACCGGAGAATAATCCTAGAGCTTTGAATATTCCTCGTTCGGCACATACTTTCAATTTAGTTGTAAATGACGCTGTCGTCAGCTTATTTTCTTCAGTATAATTCAGGAATTTTACGATCTCTTTTCTGCATTCACAAACGATGGACTATTTTACTTAAATATGTAAAAAGCCTAATGTTAAAATCATCGTGTAATACGAGACGAGAAAGTCATTTCGAAGCCATCCTACCATTAAAACTGCAAGCCAAAGAAATATATTTCGCTTCACAAGGAATAAAAAATGATTCTACAAAAGACACGGACAAGATTTCGGGCAAACGCATCGTTATCAAAATGAAAGTCATTTAAATGTATTTGTTCACCGATTGCGTGGCGCGCGATTTCGTGTAAAGTTAATGTCATTAGCGAGACGTTACAAAGTGCAGATTGTAACCCGAGCGAAGTTCTCGAAAACTTAAAAGAAATTTAAACTCATTCGACTGCTTTTTAGAGTTAAATACGTTATCAGATTGGGACGAAAGTGAAATTTTATCATACTGTAAGAATTTGAATTAAAATTAGCAGATCGTTGGAATAAAAGCGGCGATGTAGACGGTGCATGCCTATTCCAATAAAATCTTTAAAATGCCTTTTAGATAAAAAGACGACCGTCGAGAATATTTTAAATCTTATCTATAATAATTATTTGGTGGAAGTTTTCCTAATATTGCTATTGCTTTCAGAATATATTTAACTTTACCGGTAACGGTTACCACTGCCGAAGGAAGGTTCTCCAAAGTAAAGAAGATAAAAATTTGCACGGAACCATACATTATTTGCGTAATGACGACGTAACCCAGGATCCTCTTCATTTGAAGTTTAAGGCTACAAAAATTAATTTTTAGAGTCTTTTCTAATTCTTTTTCGCGATACCACAGAAGTAACAGTCTTTCGGCTGGAAAGTAAAAACTTCATTAAATGACCAATAATAGATTCTTAAATTAAATATTAAGCCGTAAAACCAAATTAGCTCTACGGGAAACCCCCGTGAACTTTGACCTAACGACTCGGAAGTATGGCCGACACCTCACCGATAACCAGAAAGGCTTAAGTTTAAAATCCGAGCTTTCTAGACCCGGCAGTTTTTTCTCTACCGGCGTTTGCAACGCCGGATGAAGAAACGTAAGAAAATACAGCTTTTTGGCCATTTTTGCACTTCTCTATTGCCGAGAAAATGTTGAAATTTTGCACCCGAGAAAACAATTTTCTTTCCAACGAGATAATCGGAATTACTTCGGGTGTTTGGGGGCGGAGAAATCGACAACTTCTTTACTTGGCGGGAGTCCCTGCGTGACTCCTAATAAATACGTATCGTAATATTTCGTACTTTCGGTGGACATCGAAATTAAACCCTAAAATCAAAAAATCACTTAAATACATTCTTGGAAAGTATCGGGGTCGACCTTAGCCCCGTGGTATTCCGCGTGACGATAAAAAGTAGGTACTGCCAGGGTTAATTATAACAAATAAAATATTCCTTCGCTACGTAATTATTTATCGTCCAATCACTTTGTAATAAGCGTAAAGAAAAATAAAAAATTATTATAAAAACGATAGAACATTTAAATGAGACTTATTTGATTTAATTTAATTAAAAATTTGCAAAATTTATTGTTAAAAAAACTTGTTTTATTTCCATTTTTATACACGCTTTAAACTTCAAAAACAACGCAAATAGAACAAGATTACGTACAGTACCGATAACAAGTTGTATCTTTCAAACTCTTCTACATACAATAACAAAACTTCTGTAATTGTATTATAAACCAAATGTTAAATTAAATATTTCTTCGCATCGTTTCANTTGCTTGCAAAACCTCCGCTGACGAAGTCGCGGGTAACAGCTAGTATTATATAATATAAAATATGAAACGATACGAAGAAATTTTTATAATACAATTACACGAATCAGATATTTTAATGCCGAAATCGAGGATACAGATAAGAAAAACTTGAAAATAAACCGAAATTGCATTTAGTTAATGCGAGGTTACGATTTTTACACACGAACAAGCCAATAACTAAAAATCCTTTCTTAGTTATCTCACAAACACAGACAATTCTCCTTATTGCCGATACTTTGGCGACGTTTTAACTCCGATTTAGCTTTAAAACGACCGCGGAAGGTAGTTTTTGCCAGAATAAATTATCTGATAATGAATTAAAGAAACTTTACACGAAAATCTCTTTCTACAGGTATCACACTGTGGAATGTGAGTATTGGAATGAGCTTTCGTCACACTTTCAGTTTTAAACTACTTATTTCAACTTCCGCACACAAACGTATTCTCGTGTTGAACAAAGCAATGTTTAACAAAAGTTTTTCTATATTTGAAACGAGTTTTACATTCATTACAAAAATACTTGCTTGTATCGCTGTGTACGATTTTATGCTGTTTCAAATCAGGTTTTCTTTTAAAACATTTGTTACAAATATCACAAGAATGCTTGTATTCACTGCTATGTACGAGTTTATGACCGTATAAACAGTTTTTTGTTTTAAAACGTTTATTACATGTCTGACAAGAATACTTACGTCGATTACCGTGAATTTCGTAATGTATTTTTAACTCGCCTTTCCTTTTAAACCTCTTATTACAAATATCGCATTGGAAAGGTCGATGGTCACTATGAGTTACTTCGTGAGATGTCAATCCATATTTCTGTTTAAATTCTTTGTTACATATGTTACATCGATGAGATTTGCGCGTTCTCCCGTGCCGCTCTAAACCACCCTTCGAAGTAAGGCGCTCTTTGGGACGAACAATTTCTTTACAATGTGCACTTTCGAATTTAAAATTCAATCTTTCCAAAACAACTTTACATTGTTTTATATCGTGTTTAATATCAGACTCCTCTTTTATTTCTTCTTTCTTAATACCTATATTGGAATTTACAAAAATTCGTTTCTTTAAACATTTCTAAGGCGGTGATTTTATTTAAAAAACTTATTTTATTTACACTTGATTTTTGGATTGGTTTTTTCGAAAACCAACCCAAAAATCAAATGCGATAAATTTAGGAGCACAGAGCCTCGGCCAGACATCAAAGAATTTCGCTGCTTCGAGTATTGTTAAGTCGGCAATATAAAAACGAAGGGATCTTACGAAACCCGAAAAATAGAAAGATAGAGACTAGGACTGCAAAATCGCTACGAGATCCTTCCGAAACGAGAAAATGGAACAGCGAGAGGACGGATCGCTCGGATATTTTGTTTGAACGAGTCTACTTTCTAAACTTTTTCGGTCACTACGAAGAATCCGGTTCTATAGAGCTTGGATGGAGAACGGTCAGACTACTCTGACGGAAGATCGATTTTGCGCCAGCTTTTCACGAAATACCGACCCGGTACGTGCGTGAAAGCTGCAGAACCGTAAAGCCGACGAATAGGTCGACCCAAAAATTGACCAACAGTTAACAAAATGAATAAAAAAAAGCAGTTTGCAGAAGGAGTAAGAATTATTCTGAGACAATCATATTTGATATTACGTGGCACAATTACGTACGAAAGCTGCCCGTCTATCAATAATCGAATCGTTAAATTTATACTAAATAGTTGGTTTTTAGTTAATCCATCTTAATAAATATTAATTTCAGAAAGAAATTACAATTCATTTACGGTAAAAAAAACTAATTAACAGAATTCTTTATATGTCGTAGACAAAAATTTAAAAAAATATATAAATTGAAATAATTGGAAATTTCATCCCAATTCGAGAATATCATTATTGTATTTCTTATATAAGTAATTATCATTCGGTTTACACTTTTCCTATTACGTAACGTTCTTAAGCAAAAAGTTTTTAGATTTATATTACGCATTGTAATAGAAGGACAAATCAGAAATTAACTTGGTGAAACATATTTGTTGTTTGTTTTTCATAAAAGAAAGACTTTACGAAATAAAGAAGGAATTTGTCAGAATTTCCCGATAAAGGCGTAAATTCCACACCAGAAAGAAATGTCGACGAATTAGCGATTCGTTATTTCCTTCTTATTTCAATTAGTTATGTTTTTTGATCGCTTAGACCCTAACAAAAAATTAAAACGTAGAAAATTACTATTTTACCAAAAGTAGGGTCCGAGAGAAGTAAGAAGACGAGTCGGCACTGGCAGAAAAAAACCATTCTTTTCAATAAATCGTAGAAATTTAACAAAAAAGAAAGAATAAAACGAATACTAATAGACATTTTGCTATTTATTAACCAAAACCGAATTCTATTAAATTATTTTATTGTCTAAGACGTAAATTCCGACTGTTTAGGATCCCGGTAAATTGAATCGACAACTGTATTTACTACTTGGAGTTTTATCGATAATATTCAATCATATCTATTATATAAATTTATCTATACACACTGTATTTACGTTTTAACTATTGTAAATATCATTAAGAAGATAGGTCAATAGTATTAAAAGTATCGATCCTCTTACTTATTTTATCGTAACCGGTCATACTCCAAATATCACAAAGATTTCGGTTATTTGCCAAAACGGGCTTCTCGTCGATTTTTATCTGAAATGATAAAAATACAATAATTGTTATATTTTCACAGCAGTCGATATTTATACAAAAATGTGAAAAAATATATATTTCAACCGAAACATAAAATTCCATTTATTCAATAAATTTCTTCGAGATACGTGCTTACTAATGCGTTAGCTTTGTTAAGACCGTTGTCGAATTATAGAAATTCATTGACATAATTATTAGTATAAATCTCCTCATATTACCGTATTTGAATTAGGAGAAAGTGGTTTGTTGCGATTAAACTTTGCCGGGCTTATATTCCGGTTGTAATAACNTTCAATCTTTCCAAAGCAACTTCACATTGTAATTTTATATCAGGTTTAATATCAGACTCCTCTTTTATTTCTTCTTTCTTAGTACCTATATTGGAATTTACAAAATTCGTTACTTTAAACATTTCTAAGACGGTAATTTTATTTAAAAAACTTATTTTATTTACACTTATGTGTCTAAACTAATCCAAAAATCAAATACGATAAATTTAGGAACACCGAGCCTCGGCTGGACAAAAAAGTAGAAAGATAGAGACTAGGACTGCAAAATCGCTACGAGATCCTTCCGAAACGAGAAAATGGAACAGCGAGAGGACGGATCGCTCGGATATTTTGTTTGAACGAGTCTACTTTCTAAACTTTTTCGGTCATTACCAAGAATCCGGTTCTATAGAGCCCGGATGGAGGACGGTCGGACTACTCTGACGGAAGATCGATTCTGCGCCAGCTTCTAACGAAATACCGATCCGGTACGTGCGTGGAAGCCGCGGAACCGTAGAGCCGACGAATAGGTCGACCCGAAAATTGACCGACAGTTAACAAAATGACGTGGCTGGCGTTCTGGCAAGAGTAAGCGAAAATTCGCGTAGATGCCAATTCGGCAAAAGAGGCAGGTTGCACCTTGCAGGAGGAGTAAGAATTATTCCGAGACAATCATATTTGATATTACGTGGCACGATTACGTACGAACGCTGCCCGTCTTCAATAATCGAATCGTTAAATTTATACTAAATAGTTAGTTTTTAGTTAATCCGTCTTAATAAATATTAACATCAGAAAGAAATTACAATTCATTTACGGTAAAAGAAGTAATTAACAGAATTCTTTATATGTCGTAGACAAAAGTTTAAGAAGAAATTGAAATAATTGGAAATTTTACCCCAATTCGAGAATATCATTATTGTACTTCTTGTATAAGTAATTATCATTCGGTTTACACTTTTCCTATTACGTAACGTTAATTCTTAAGCAATTAGTTTTTAGATTTATATTACGCATTGTAATAGAAGGACAAATCAGAAATTAACTTGGTGAAACATATTTGTTGTTTGTTTTTCATAAAAGAAAGACTTTCCTAAATAAAGAAGGAATTTGTCGGAATTTTCCGATAAAGACGTAAATTCCACACCAGAAAGAAATGTCGACGAATTAGCGATTCCATTATTTCGTTCCGATTTCGATTAGTTATCTTTTTTTGATCGCTTGGACCCTAACAGAAAATTAAAACTTAAAAAATTACTGTTTTACTAAAAGTAGGGTCCGAGAGAAGTAAGAAGACGAGTCGGCACTGGCAGAAAAAAAACCATTTTTTTCAATAAATCTTAGAAATTTAACAAAAAAGAAAGAATGCAACAAATACTAATAGACATTTTGCTATTTATTAACCTAAACTGAATTATATTAAATTATTTTATTGTCTAAGACGTAAATTCCGACTGTTTAGGATCCCCATAAATTGAATCGACAACTGTATTTACTACTCGGAGTTTTATAGATAATATCGAATCATATATATTATATAAATTTATCTATACGCGGTGTATTTACGTTTTAACTATTCTAAATATCATTAAGAACACATGTAAATAGTATTAAAAGTATCGATCCTCTTACTTATTTTATCGTAACCGGTCATATTCCAAATATCACAAAGATTTCGGTTATTTGCCAAAATGGACTTCTCGTCGATATTTATCTGAAATGATAAAAATACAATAATTGTTATATTTTCACAGCAGTCGATCTTTATACAAAAATGTGAAAAAATATATATTTCAACCGAAACATAAAATTCCATTTATTCAATAAATTTCTTCGAGATACGTGCTTACTAATGCGTTAGCTTCATCAAGACCCTTGTCAAATTATAGAAATTCATTGACATAATTATTAGTATAAATCTCCTCATATTACTGTATTTGAATTAGGAAAAAGTGGTTTGTTGCGATTAAACTTTGCCGGGCTTATATTCCAATTGTAATAACGAATTGCTCTTCCGTTTAAACCCTATTCCCTCCCTACTGAATTTCCACTGTTTCGAATAAGATCGTAAAAGCCGATTTTATTAAATTCTTTTTAGTATATTTTTCCTTCCCCATTTTTGTGGTATAAAACTGACGGAACAATCATTCGACTTCTCGCTTTTNCTGAAATGATAAAAATACAATAATTGTTATATTTTCACAGCAGTCGATATTTATACAAAAATGTGAAAAAATATATATTTCAACCGAAACATAAAATTCCATTTATTCAATAAATTTCTTCGAGATACGTGCTTATTAACGCGTTAGCTTCATTAAGACCGTTGTCAAATTATAGAAATTCATTGACATAATTATTAGTATAAATCTCCTCATATTACTGTATTTGAATTAGGAAAAAGTGGTTTGTTGCAGTTAAACTTTGCCGGGCTTATATTCCAGTTGTAATACTGTATTGCTCTTCCGTTTAAACCCTATTCCCTCCCTACTGAATTTCCAGTGTTTCGAATAAGATCGTAAAAGCCGATTTTATTAAATTCTTTTTAGAATATTTTTCCTTCCCCATTTTTGTGGTATAAAACTGACGGAACAATCATTCGACTTCTCGCTTTTACTTATTTAATTATATTTTTTTCTTTATCTACATCTATATCTGTATCTATATCTATATTATATATATATAAATGGACGTGTGTGTCCCTATATCTCACTTTTTCGCCAAAACTACACATCACACGTGAATGCTGTTTGTATGTGGTGGTACCCCAGTCTCCATTCGTGCATANTATATTTTTCAATATATTTATTTTGTTTGTACAAAATAAAAAAATAATTTTTAACGATACAATAGTCTTCGTTAGGCTTAACATCGACGAAAATTCAACGCGAAGCGACACGCAACAGAGAAAAATGTCAAGATGGGATAGGTTAATATATTTTTCGTACATAATCTGTTATCCGAAACATCGATCTTCCGAACAACCCCAGTCCGCAATTGATTCGGATAATCGACGCTCTACTGTACTTCGTTTTTAGTTAATCCATCTTAATAAATATTAATATCAGAAAGAAATTACAATTCATTTACGGTAAAAAAAACTAATTAACAGAATTCTTTATATGTAGTAGACAAAAATTTAATAAGAAATTGAAATAATTGGAAATTTCACCCAAATTCGAGAATATCATTATTGTATTTCTTGTATAAGTAATTATCATTCGGTTTACACTTTTCCTATTACGTAACGTTAATTCTTAAGCAATCACTTTTTAGATTTATATTACGCATTGTAATAGAAGGACAAAAAACAAATCACAAATTGACTTCGTGAAACATATTTGTTGTTTCTTTTTTAATAAAAGAAAGACTTTCCGAAATAAAGAAGGAATTTGTCGGAATTTTCCGATAAAGGCGTAAATTCCACACCAGAAAGAAATGTCGACGAATTAGCGATTCAGTATTTCGTTTTGATTTCAAATAGTTATGTTTTTTGATCGCTTAGACCCTAACAAAAAATTAAAACAGAAAATTACTATTTTACCAAAAGTAGGGTCCGAGAGAAGTAAGAAGACGAGTCGGCACTCGCAGGAAAAAAAACCATTCTTTTCAGTAAATCGTAGAAATTTAACAAAAAAGAAAGAATAAAACGAATACTAATAGACATTTTGCTATTTATTAACCAAAACCGAATTCTATTAAATTATTNTTTATAAAATTTAAAATTGCCTTTTTTTTAAATTTCGTGATACATATACGTTGGTTTTTACTTTATCTAGAAACATTTCTGTCTCTCCAATTATCGTATTTCTTTTTATAATTGACGAGAAAAAGTTTTTTAAAAGACAAAAGTCCGACTTTTCCAATAAAATCTTTAAAATGCCTTTTAGATAAAAAGACGACCGAAAGAAAAATAAATTAATTTCTTTAAAAAGAAATTAATTTATTGTATCGTTTAACATACTGGTTACGAAGCTGTAGTGTGTTCCGTGTGTAACAAAAGAAACCTCGTCGTTCTAGCATCGATAGCAATGTCGTGCGGTGACATTTGATGATAGGAAAGCTGTGTTTCTATACAAAGCCGACTTCCAGAGGCAATCAGTTAATTCTTTCTTTAAATGTATTTTTAATAGATTATTTATCCGACATACTTAATAAACAATTCGATATAATTACCTCCGTTATTAGATCCAATATATTCCATACGCCCTCTAAATGACAATTCTCGCTTCGATAAAAACATAACATCTATTTATTTACTAGATATAATATATCTAAATATAGCCGTAACTATCTGCTTATAATTTTCAATATTTATTTTATATTATTTACTAACGTTAAATTCTATTCCGCTTCGATTTCCAAATTCCTTCAAATACAAAAGAATCGACGATTTTTCGAGTCTTTTGCCAGCTAAATCGTCAAAGCCATTCTTATTCCACGCACTAATTTCATTCGAAAATAGTAGGCGAGCCAACGAAACAATTTTTGCATTTTTATGCAGTTACGGAGCCATTTTATCGAAAAAATGTCTAACAAATTTTTTTATCAAAGCGTTTATATTTAACTTAGGCATTGGCCTTTCTCTTTTAATAATGTTTTCTTTTTCATTATATGATCTCGAGCCAAAACTTTTTAAAAATAAATTTTCAATATTGCAACGACATTCTAAATCGCAATATAGATAATTTCCTCCCCTGATATTGTATGTTTTAATGAGATTTTATAAACCCCCGATTTTTCATTCAACGTGAGCGTGTCTCTATCGTTGCGCAATGTTCTTCGTAGTGATGGTTGAGGGGTTATAGATAATATAAAACCATGCTTCCCGAATATAAATTGGAGCTACCATCAGAATGATACGGTTCCGCATCTTCGAACATCAAGAGGACATTAGAAATAACAAACCAGCTACAGAATTAGCGAAAAAGGCTCTAGACCAAGATTATCTTCCACTTTGGAACCACATTAAATTACTTAAGCATTGCAATGATCGTAGGCAAATATTCATATGAAAAAACCTTTACATATCTGCTGCTTTGCCATGTGATGCGCCGACATCGGAAATACCACAGCTATGGATAACTTTATTTAAACAATCCAAGTTATAATTTTGTGAACTGATTTTATTCCATTACCATGCACGGCACTATTACTCAATATTTATATGTTTTGGAGAGTTCAAGTTATTACAGCATGCTTTTTTTAAAAATATTTATTTATTCATTTTTCATTAAGTTGTTCTATATTCCAACCACGTGCATTACGTAATTTGATAAAGGTGGTCTATCATATCCCACCAAAGAACTGCGGGTCTTAATGACGAAATTAGAAGATAACTAGGCCTATACTTTTTCATTTAGTGTAAGAGAACCTCACAAGAATTTTGTACAAGATATTTCAAATGTAATTTCAATGAAACGTATAAATCTAGTTGGCTGCAGTGAACATAGAAAAATTGTCACTAAATATATTGTAAAATTTTACTTACAGACTAGATCACATTTCCTCAAAGGGTCCGAATAAATCTAAAGAATACACTAGAAAACAAAAACTCTACCTAAAGCGGAGGCGAATCACATAGCCTAATTCTGCAGTTGCAGTACCATAGCTAACAATAAATGATTTCATCAAAGTTTCTGACCTAATTTTAATTTTACTGACTTGTGTATTTTTAATTTATAGATATTACTCCACTGTACATTTTAATTCTTTTATCTTTCTTGAAAAGAATGAGAAATCTACACGCATATTAATCTGTAATTTTTTAAGAGATTTTTCAAATATACAGCGTACGAGTAGTAGCACGATTTTTGTGCCGTTTTCGAGAAACAGCCGCACATTAAAAAGTTTAGTTTATACGCGTGGGTACTCGGCGGTAGGCTAATAATCGTTTATTTGTTACATACTTAATTTTGTAATTGTATATCGGGACAATAAAGTAACATTCCGCCTTTATATTTTATATACTGTGTAGAATTTAATTGTAATTTTAATATCGCTTCATACTATGTCACTTAATACCGTACGAACAGTATACAGTATACAGTATTACGTAACCGACGGCATTTGCTTAATAAGTTCTATTTTAAGCCCTCACAGTGAAAGAGGTTGGCAAAGCCATATAAAAGTTACATTTTNACGATTTTTCGAGTCTTTTGCCAGCTAAATCGTCAAAGCCATTCTTATTCCACGCACTAATTTCATTCGAAAATAGTAGGCGAGCCAACAAAACAATTTTTGCATTTTTATGCAGTTACGGAGCCATTTTATCGTAAAAATGTCGAACAAATTTTTTTTATCGAAGCGTTTATATTTAACTTAGGCATTGGCCTTTCTCTTTTAATAATGTTTTCTTTTTAATTATATAATTTCGAGCCAAAACTTTTTAAAAATAAATTTTCGATATTGCAACGACATTCTAAATCGCAATATAGATAATTTTCTCCCCTGATATTGTATGTTTTAATGAAATTTCATAAACCCCCGATTTTTCATTCAACGTGAGAGGGTCTCTATCGTTGTGCAATGTTCTTTGTAGTGATGGTTGAGGGGTTATAGGTAACATAAAACCATGCTTCCTGAATATAAATTGGAGCTACCACCAGTTGATACGGTTCCGCATCTTCGAACATCAAGAGGACATTAGAAATAACAGACCAGCTACAGAATTAGCGGAATTTAGTATTTCAACGGTTTGTTCCAGTTGTGAAAATTGTTTTAACATATTGCTCGAGTCTGATGTTCCTAACTCTGAAAATACACTAACAGAATTTACAAGGAAATTTGATAAAAGTGGTCTATCATATTCTACCAAAGAACTGCAGGTCTTAATGATGAAATTAGAAGATAACTATACTTTTTCACTTAGTATAAGAGAACTGCACAAGAATTTTGTACAAGATATTTTAAATGATTTAATTTCAATGAAACGTATCAATCTAGTTGGCTGCAGTGAACATAGAAAAATTGTCACTAAATATATTGTAAAATTCTACTTACTGACTAGATTACATTTCCCCATAAAGGGAAATGTAATCTAGTCAACTTCGTTACATAATGTGCAACGACGGACCATGTTTCGTTCGACTCTCTATAAGATGCAACGCTCCCCTCCGATAGTATTAAATGCTGTAAAGATGCACTCTGTAACCTCACGAACTATTCCTACAGGTGTTGCATACACAAAAGACTTTACATAACCCCAGAGGAAGAAGTCAAGAACAATAACACGACATCAATGGACGGAAGGCTAGCTACCAAAGCGAAGGGCGGTAGAAAACTTTACATCACATTTCCGGCTATGAGTTCCTTATATCAAAATGTTCAAAATTTCATTCTCTACAATCCCCCAAATTTTTAAAATGTCATTCCGATAAACCCTGTAGATATTACTCCACCATAATTTTTAATTATTTTTTTTTTTCTTGAAAAGGGTAAGAAATCTACACGAATATATTGATTTTTTAAGAGAGATTTTCCAAATATACAGCGTAAGAGTAGTAGCACAAATTTTGTGCCGTCTTCGAGAAACAGCCGCACATTAAAAAGTTTAGTTTATAGGCGTGGGTACTCGGCGGCAGGCTAATAATCGTTTATTTGTTACATACTTAATTTTGTAATTTTATATCGGGACAATAAAGTAACATTCCACTTTTATATTTTATATACCGTGTAGAATTTAATTGTAATTTTAATATCGCTTTATACTATGTCACTTAATACCCTACGAACAGTATACCGTATTAAGTAACCGACAGCATTTGCTTAATAAGTTCTATTTTAAGCCCTCACAATGGAAGAGGTTGGCAAAGCCATATAAAAGTTACATTTTATTATTAAAAATATGATAAATTCTATAATTTTTAGTAAATATGAATAAACCTTGTTGGTAATGACAAGAGTACATTACTCTTGTACTCTAAATAAAACTTGTTTTTACAGTACTCAACAATTGTAATGTAAAAATTGACTATACAGTGTAGGCTATTTGATTTAAAAATAATCTTAATTAGCATTAATAATATCGAATTCCTTCGTGTATAAATGTTTATAAAATAATACTATATAATAATCGATTGTTCGCGATACGATTTATTATCGATCTAAAATCTTTTACTTTGCCACGGCATATTTACTACCCTTAAAATTCCCACTTTAAACCGATATAAACGTAGGACGATACAGCCAGTGTAGCGCAACGATTGACAGCGGCGCCTCTCGCGTCAACCCGCAAAAAAAGGACAGAAAATAAGCTGGATTTCGACACTATTTTCTAGCCACTTTGGAATCCCCGTTCTCTCTTTGTTAAAGGTTCGTCGGTCGCTTCCGGCACAACTTCCGATTGTACAGCCACTGACTCTTCAATTCTCCTAAAAGTTTGACGGACACAAACTCTTCTTACAGAATACGGTTACGTCACGGAGTTTATAACTCGACCCTTAACCTCTGGAAAACGAACACCGTGGCTAAATATGCCAAATTTAATAGAAAACTGCCGAAACGGTTTTTCTTATCCCGAAAATGTAGTTCGGTTTAAAGCTGAGGTAGGTAGTAATTACAGCTGTCCCTCGATATTCCGACAGGCATGGGACCAAAGGGGTGTCGGATTACCGAAAATGATTACATATTTGGCATTATTTTTCTAGCAGTAGTCTACAATATTCCCTACTACAACTGTTCGAACGGAACCGCTCACGGAAAACACAAGAAATGTGTCATCGTGTAAAGCGGAATGCACACATGCGGCGCGGCAAGGAAAACCGGCAGGATGACGTCACTTTTTCTCGCCGCAGAAGTCGATTTTGTGCCGCGTTTCTCGTGCCGCAAAAGTTGGTCGAATTTTATCTTTTGTGATAACCGCCGCCAAGACGCGTTTCTATCAGCTAATAACAATTCGTCCGGTAATCACGTGAGAAAATACAATCGCGTGGTGTTTTAATGGCGGAAAGTTCCACGCGGTTAACCGAGATAACTAACATCAGAATAAGGAGGAAAGATAATAAATTTAACACAAATTCTACACAAATAATCATTTATAATTTAATTCAAAGAACAAAACAACCGAATCTTACTCGAAATAGTATTGTTTATCGAGGAATAAGCGTATTTTGTACACCAGTTCTTTATCGATCCAACAAAATATCTCTAATCCAAAATCTCCGTTCGAATCTTCTAACTAAATAAAGCGAGCCGAACAAAACAAATTTGTAAACACGTGGATAGCGACAATATCGGTATCGTTCGCCATCTTGACTACTGAACGCACGCGCCGAAATGAAAGCGGATTGTCGCTTGCGTGGCTGCGCTGCCGCGCAGCGAAGATGCGTTTGCGACACCGCTTTTCCTTGCCGCGCCGCGTGTGTGCATCTGGCTTAAGAATTGGGTAGGGAGATTTACGTCGCGACACGCTTATGCGCAAGCAGACACGTAACGGGGACGGGTACCTCGACGGGAAGTGCGTCGGACTACTGAGAATGGCGGATTACGAAACGTCGGACTATCAAGGGACAGCCGTATTAAAATATATTCTACTGTTTCGGAAATGTGTTTTTCTATTTACTATTTGATATTTCAGAATTTTAGTTTTATTTCTCGTGAGAATGGATCGAGAATGGAATCACGTATAATACTTTTTACTCACCTTTACATCCTCGTCGCCTCCATATTCTAAAGGTTCCGATTTAATTGTTTTACAAAACTTCTCGTCTTCCGTGTTAAACTCTTTCTTGCAATTGTTTAAAGGAACTTCACACTTTGGTTCGAACGTAAAATCCGAAGGTTCTTCTTTTATCTTCATTTTTTCAATTTACAATATTCTCGTACGTCGACGATCTGTCTTCGACCAAAGCAAGATTTTAACACCGTCACCGGCNTTTGCTTAATAAGTTCTATTTTAAGCCCTCACAATGGAAGAGGTTGGCAAAGCCATATAAAAGTTACATTTTATTATTAAAAATATGATAAGTTCTGTATTTTTTAGTAAATATGAATAAACCTTGTTGGTAATGGCAAGAGTAGATCACTCTTGTACTCTAAATAAAACTTGTTTGTACAGTACTCAACAGTCGAAATGTAAAAATAGACTATACAGTGTAGGCTATTTGACTTTAAAAAAATCTTAATTAGCATTAATAAAACCGAATTCCTTCGTGTATAAATGTTAATAAAATAATCCTATATAATAATCGATTGCTTGCGATACGATTTATTATCGATCTAAAATCTTTTACTTTGCCACGGCACATTTACTACGCTTAAAAATCCCACTATAAACCAATATAAACGTAGGACGATACAGCCAGTGTAGCGCAACGATTGACAGCGGCGCCTCTCGCGTCAACCCGCAATAAAGGGACAGAAAATAAGCTGGATTTCGACACTATTTTATAGCCACTTCGGCATCCCCGTTGTCTCTTTGTTAAAGTTTCGTCGGTCGCTTCCGGCACAACTTCCGATTGTGTAGCCACTGACTGTTCGTCAATTCTCCTAAAAGTATGATGGACGCAAATCCTTCTTACAGAATACGGTTACGTCACGGAGTTTATAACTCGACCCTTAACCTCTGGAAAACGAACACCGTGGCTAAATATGCCAAATTTAATAGAAAACTGCCGAAACGGTTTTTCTTATCCCGAAAATGTAGTTCGGTTTAAAGCCGAGGTAGCTAGTAATTACAGCTATCCTTTGATATTCCGACAGGTATGGGACCAAAGGGGTGTCGGATTACCAAAAGTGTCCGGATTACCGAAAGTGATTACATATTTGGCATTATTTTGCTAGCAGTAGTCTACAGTATTCCCTACTACAACTGTTCGAACAGAACCGCTCACGGAAAACGCACGAAATGTGTCATCGTGTAAAGCGGGATGCACACATGCGGCGCGGCAAAGAAAACCTGCAGGATGACGTCACTTTTTCTCGCCGCAAAAGTCGATTTTGTGCCACTTTTCTCGTGCCGCAAAAGTTGGTCGAATTTTATCTTTTGTGGTAACCGCCGCCAAGTCGCGTTTCTATCAGCCAATAACAATTCGTCCGGTAATCACGTGAGAAAATACAATTGCGTGGTGTTTTAATGGCGGAAAGTTCGACACGGTTAACCGAGATAACTAACATCAGAATAAAGAGGAAAGATAGTAAATTTAACACAAATTCTACACAAATAATCATATATAATTTAATTCAAAGAACAAAACAACCGAATCTTACTCGAAATAGTATTGTTTATCGAGGAATAAGCGTATTTTGTGCACCAGTTCTTTATCGATCCAAGAAAATATCTTCTAACTAAATAAAGCAAGCCGTACAAAACAAAATTTGTAAACACGTGGATAGCGACAATATCGGTATCGTTCGCCATCTTGAATACTGAACGCACGCGCCGAAATGAATGCGGATTGTCGCTTGCGCGGATGCGCTGCCGCGCGGCGAAGATGCGTTTGCGACACCGCTTTTCCTTGCCGCGCCGCGTGTGCATCCGGCTTAAGAATTGGGTAGGGAGATTCACGTCGCGACACGCTTCTGCGCAAGCAGACACGTAACGGGGACGGGTACCTCGACGGGAAGTGCGTCGGACTACTGAGCATGGCGGATTACAAAACGTCGGTCTATTAAGGGACAGCCGTATTAAAATATATTCTACTGTTCAGAATATTCTATATTCTGTTTGTTTTTCTATTTACTATTTGATATTTCAGAATTTTAGTTTTATTTCTCGTGAGAATGGATCGAGAATGGAATCACGTATAATACTTTTTACTCACCTTTACATCCTTATAGTCTCCATATTCTAAAGGTTCCGATTTAATTGTTTTACAAAACTTCTCGTCTTCCGTGTTAAACTGTTTCTTGCAATTGTTTAAAGGAACTTCACACTTTGGTTCGAACGTAAAATCCGAAGGTTCTTCTTTTATCTTCATTTTTTCAATTTACAATATTCTCGTACGTCGACGATCTGTCTTCGACCAAAGCAAGATTTTAACACCGTCACCGGCAGACGGTTGAAAGTGGCCGTCGGCTTTTTTGAAAGTACAGCCGCTGATTGGCCAGCAGACAATCACGCCACGAGGCATAATTTGCATAAGACTATGGGCGCGTTTGGAAATTGTAACCGGCAATACAGCGGTAGTGGTGACTGACAGCGTTGCCAGATTTGGCTGCTTTGCGCCAAATTGGGCTACTTATTTTTCAGTTTGGCGTTAAAAAAAATATTTGGCGCACTGGCTACTTTTTGGGCTGGTTACACAAATTATTTCATCCTTTGTTTTGCGCACAGAACGGTAATAATTGTTGCGCTGTCTACTCGTTTTTTTTTACACGTAGTATAATTTATATAAGTTTTATAATTTATTTATTATTGGTATTAAAATGGGAAAATGGACAAAGTATTCTCGGACGTGCGACTAAATATCTAGATGGCACAACGCGCTGATTGGTCAGCTGAATGACGTCAACCTACCGAAGTATAGATTATATTTTGTGGTCGTGACGAAATAGATTATTTTTTTTTTAGTTGTCGTAATATGGAGCGAGTATAAAGTGAAAATACAGTACTGTATAAAGTTTAGCTTGCATGTTTTCATAAATTTATATAAATTATTTTAAAATGGTTTACTTTTACTTAATAAATTACTTAAGATTATTTATTTTTTTGAACATTTTATCTTCATACTTGATTTTTATGCACTTCTGAACCAAATCATACACAATAGATCATTTTAATAGTGTGATTAGTGTTTTAAATTTACGTGCACAGATAATAAATAACAGAAAATTTATACTTTGTTACAGATATTATTCATAAAAAGGTCAAGAAAGGATGAAATTTATAATTAAGACAAGTCAGAATATTTTTTGAATTTGTCGTATGCATTTAATATAGTTAGATGAAACAATAAAATTAACTAAGTTTTGTATACCTCTGAAAGAGAAATTTTCACAAATCTTGCTTAACAGATTATAAAGTTTAAATGTAAAAGTTATTGAACAATTTTTAATAAAGAATATTCCTCATAGATTACTGTTATCAGAACATTTTTTAATGCTTTAGTTAGAATTGACAGTTTCTTCTGTCAATAGACATTTTGTTCTTTCGAATGTCAGTTTCAAAATCTGTTAAGAAACAATACTTTTCAAATTTACAGAAATTTCATATATCCAGTTCCATCTGTAAATATGTTTAATCAAACTTGTATGACCATTTTTCAAATCAAAAGTATAGAATTCTTGTATAAATTATTAAACAATCAATAATACTGTAAGTATTTAAGNTTTCTTGCAATTGTTTAAAGGAACTTCACACTTTGGTTCGAACGTAAAATCCGAAGGTTCTTCTTTTATCTTCATTTTTTCAATTTACAATATTCTCGTACGTCGACGATCTGTCTTCGACCAAAGCAAGATTTTAACACCGTCGAATTCAAGTTTACATTTACATAAATGAACGAATACCGTTCGTATAAATTAAATCAGGCCTACTTACCTCTTGTACTAGAACGAATCGACGTTAATCGGAATCAATAAATATCGACAGGAAGGTTCTCTGGAAATTTAGAGCGAGTAAGGAAGAAAGACGAGTAAACCGATTGTTGTTGTTAGCTTTATAGCGCTAAAAGAGTAAAGCCGCGGGTTAAAAGTGACACATCGCAAACACACGTGAAAATCCGTAGGTATAAATCACGCGTTACGTGGTAAACAATCATTATCCGAGAGACATCTATGTATATTTCTGTAAGTAAAAATGAAGTTTTGAATTTCGCGCTTACAATCTGAAAAATTTCTGCAGACAGCGCTACAATTCATGTATACGTATAAAATTTATTTTTTTTCTAGTATTATAATTAAATGTAAAATAAAAAAAATTATTTTATAGAACCAAGTTATTAAAATTATTCACCGAACACGAGTATGGACGAAAAGTGAGGGAGTAAATACTTTTACACTGGTTTTTCAAATTTTTAAACAGGAGACGAGTAAAATTTTAACGTAAAGAATATTATTGTACCATCGGCATTTGTAAAGAACCTCGAAAACGAAACGATAAAATTTGATATAAATATTAAATTGCGGGCGATTCGATTTTTCAGCGCGCTTTTTGTTTTATTTTATGTTAGAAAAGAAATCGGTTCAACGGTTCAGTATGCACTAATTGGTCATCGAGCCCGATGTCGAGGTTATGAAAAGGTTAAGTTGAAGCAAGAAAGTCTACTCCAGCACGGGAACTTTTTAAGTTCACTTCGACACGACAGTATATACGTCACTTTCGTCTAAGTTCGAGTTGGGAATTTTTTGTTCAACAATAAATGTGAATTCTTCTTCGTGAAAAAATAAGACCTAGCGAATCATTGAGAGCAAAAATTAATATAAGAGTCTGTCTTATTTTCGGGGAAACAGGGTAGTTGTATGTCAGAGAATACTGTCTCTTCATTGTATGCTACTAGATCTTCATATAAATAATAATGACAAATGACGATAAAGTAAAAAAGCTTCCGTTTCGTTTGTAAATTGCTTATTTTTTCATTACATTGAAGTTTTGGATCTTATTAAACATTTTTCTATGGGATGTATGCAGTGGTGATATTCGAAATATTTAACGAAAAATTCGCTAACAGAAAATGTTTTATTAACAATTTTTTTCGCTCAAACCCGAAATTTCCTTAACTCCTTAAGAATTTTTTTTTTCGTAAATGTAACATTACCGCAAAAACTGACCTTAAGATAAAAAGATGCGTTCGCAAAATTAAGTCAGTTAGAATTTAACATTCTTTATGCCAGAACTATATTTCTTTGATAAATAATAAAAAAAAGTGTTCAAAATGGTTTATTTTGTACATATTTTAATATTGTTCATTCAAAATATTTT